TTAAAATATGCAAATTTATCCCCAACAGACATAGTGATAGAACCCTTTTGCATGTCAATATTGGTATTAGAAGTTCGCAGAAAGGGTCTACCCAAAATCAGAGTTCCATCCCCACCTTGTTCATTAGGCATATCCAAAACATAGAAGTCAGCAGGAATAACTAAATCTTTCACCTTCACAAGAATATCCTCTAAGAAGCCATGTGGATACCTCACAGTCCTATCAGCTAACTGAAGCATCATGGTGGTAGGTTTGAGGTTTTTGATTTGTAAAGACTCATACATTGATTTAGGCATAACATTAATTGCAGCACCTAAATCAAGTAAAGCTTTAGGAATGGTTGTCCTACCCACAGTACAATGTATAGTAAAGGAACCGGGGTCTTGACACTTAATTGGGAGTTGTGGTTTAAACAAGGCAGAAACACTCGAGGGTAATTGAACTCTTTCAATAGGTTTAAACTTCCTCTTATTTGTGCACAACTCTTTCAAAATTTTAGCATACTTAGGGATCTTCTTAATCAGTTCAAGCAAGGGTATATTAACTTCAACTTTTCTAAATGTCTCAAGCAACTCATTATCTTGTTTTTCATTAGCAATTTTCATGCTCTTTAAGTAAGAGTGAGGAAAAGGGAGTTCATTGAGATTTACCTCCTTACCTTCATTGCTTAAGGTTCCATTAGTGCTTGTCTCTTGGTGCTTCTTGCTCTCCTTGCTTTTGTGCTCTTTAGTGGACTCCTTTTTGAGTAGCTTCGTTTCTTTAGAGCTTTCAGACCTCTTGGGTGGATTTTCAACCTCAATCTCTCCATCCACCTCTTCATCATCACTTAAGCCTTGAATAGGTCCAACTTTCTTTCCACTTCGTAGACATATGGCATTCACAGACTTAGGATTAATGATAGTGTTGGAAGGCATAGTTCCTGAATTCTTAGCTTGTTGGTCACTTATATTATTAGATAATTGAGTGACATAAGAACTGAGGTTGTTGGTCCTGGTTTCCATTTGTTCCATCTTACTTTCAATAGAGGCAAATCTTGCTTCAGACCTAACTTCATTCTTTGAGATATTATCATTCATCACTTGAATGCCTTTGAGAATTTGACCAAGCTTATCATCATCTCTAGCATATTGCTCTTGAGAAACCATGGCTCTAGAAGTACTCCCCTTGAAGTTATTATTGTTGTCCCCATTGCTCCATCTGAAATTTGGATTAGCCTTCCATCCTTCATTGTAGGTGTTAGAGTAGGGATTCCATTTTGGATCATGGTTTGGTCTCCCATGAAAGACAGCAGACACCTCTTCAAGAGTGTTAGGGCATAAGCTGCTAACATGCTTAACAGACCCACAAGTGTCACAGCTTGGAGCAACTAAAGCTTGAGAAGTGGAAGAAGTCCTTTGAACACTCAAATTCTTCAATTCAGCAGTGATCAAAGACAATTGAGATGTCATTGGCTTCCCAAAGAATCTACTTTTGATTCCAAAGCGTCCATTCTTCTACTATGCACCGAAGCAACTCCCATCTCATGGACTCCTCTAGTATCTCTCACACCATGTTGTTGATGATTCAAGGCCATCTTCTTTATCAAATCCCAAGCCTCCGCAGCAGTAGAGTCTATCAAAGATCCTCCTGATGCAGCATCCAACATACCCTTCTCTTGGTTCTTCAACCCATCATAGAAGTACTGCACCAGTTGCTCATCCAGAATTTGATGATGTGGGCATCTTGAAAGTAGGTCCTGAAATCTATTCCAGTAATCATAGAGGGATTCATCGTAGTCTTGCTTGGCAGAATAAATCTCCTTCCTCATTGATGAAGTACGAGAAGCCGGAAAGTATTTCTCCAAAAATGCCTTCCTTAAGTTCCCCCAGCTATGGTATGCATCAGCTACATGTCTTGGAGACTCATGTACCATTCCCTAGCCTTGCCTTCCAAGGATAGATGAAAAACCTTCCATAGCACTTGGTCCAACGATGCTCCCACAGGCTTCATACTCTGACAAATCATGGAAAGAGATTGCAAATGGAGGTATGGGTCTTCTCCTGTCAAGCCATGAAATTTAGGAAGAGAGTTAATCAATAAACCTTTAATCTCAAAGTTAACTTCAAAGTTTGGACATGCAGCAGTAAATGGGTCAAAGTTAACATCAGATGTGGTGGCTTCCCTAATTGTTCTTCTTCTAGGGTTCCCATTATTTTCACCCACTCTCTCTTGTTCACCATTTCCTCCATTGCCTCCATTCCTTACTTGGTTGGCATTGGGGTTAGGATGAGGTTGGTTTTGTGGTAAATCAGCCATTATCTCTTGGTCAGTAGGTTCACTCTCACTACTGGATAGGCTAGATTCCACTGAAATATTCTCTTGCTCAATCACCAACTCACTTGTCCCTCCGACTCTTTTCTCTCTTCTTATCTCTGTGAGTCTTCTCTCAATCTCCGGGTTATAGGGCACAAGCTTGGTTTTTTGTGGCATGCAAAATAAGTATCACAAGAGAAAAAGTAACAAAATTGACTTGCAGCACACAAAGTCAAATAAAAGTATGCAATGTGATGGATGCAAGTGTATGGTGTGAGTATGAAAGTATATGGATGAGTATGAGTATGTATAGATGAGTATGAGTATGTATGGGTGGGGTATGAGTAAGTATGCACAGATAAAGAAGCTGAATGCAAGTTTTAAAAACTTTCAGAGAAGTTGGCCGCGGCAAAATCAGGGGTTGGCCGCAGCGAAAGTTGGCAGAGAAGACCAGATGTCTGATTGCCGGGAGTTGGCCGCGGCGAAAACAGGGGTTGGCCGCGGCGAATGTGTCCCGAGAGGATTCCCTCAGAAATTCAAAAGGTTGGCCGCGGCGAAAGGTAATGTTGGCCGCGGCGAAAGTTGGCAGTATGCTTATCAGACACTGGACTTCACTGATGCAACGTGAGAGATGCTAAAAATCAAGAAAATCAGTATATTTGTTTGTATTTCCAAAAATTTTGATGCTATGCAAGATGAAAACCTATACTATGAACAAATATGCAACTAAACTACCCTAAATGCTACCCATAAAGATCAAAAACCTCAAAAGTCAATCAAATAGCACAAGCTAACCTAGAGAACCAATTTCTTGGCTCCCCGGCAACGGCGCCACTTGAAAGAGAGCCTTTTCTTGTCGTTCGCTTAGAGGTTCTTGCTCAAAATTTATCCAAGCTATGCAGTAGTGCAAACTCGGGTCGTTCTCTTTTGGGAGCCTAAATTAGATGTCTAAGTTAGATTAATGCTATGCAGAGTAATGAAAAAGGGGTTTTTGGTGTTTTTATCCATTAATGAAATGCTAAAACTAAATGCAATTAATTCAAATCTAAGTGACTATGTTTTTGGATTTTTCTAAGATAGTAGTAATGAAGTGAAGTTAATGATATGTAATCTCTTGAATATAGCTTTGAAGCAATCATAGTTCAAAATAAGTATGGGAGTAGAAATCACCAAGTTTTCTAAATGAAAAACCTTAAAGAACTCTTTAAGTCTAGGATCTTAATCAATGGTACCCATTTCATAAGATCCTATTAAGCTCACTTAGTGTGTGTATTAAGATTAATTAATGCACTTGGTTAAATGCAAGCCCAGATCAACTCAACAATCACACATTACCATGCAAGACAGAGAGTATCAAAAGAGTTGCATAAAAACATACATGTAACCACATGTATTGAAGCTCAAATTCAACACTAATAATCCAATACACAAAACAATCATCCAGAATTGATTACAACCATAATCAAAATAGTTCAGCCCAAATTTACAAATCCTAAGACCTAGAAATTCATAAACAAAGAACTAGAACTTATAGATGAAGCTAACTCCCCTTTGAAGCTTTGTGAACTCATGCTTCTTCCACCATATTCAAGAGTTGAGAAGCTTAGCTAGTCATAACTCTTGAATCAACTCCAACCAGATATTGTTCTTCAGCCATGGTAGCAGCAGATGGAGGAAATGGAAATGGGATTAGGGTTTCTGAGGTGAAAATGAGAGAAGAGGATGAAAGATACGAAGGTGGTGGCTGAATGATGGAGTGTTCCCTCAAAAATAGGGTTTCTAAGGGTTTAAAGGGTCCATATGGGTCGGATCATATGATTAGAGGCTCCATTTTCGCGTTCTGATCCGGATCTGGCGTTGCTGATACGAGTCTTTCGCCGCGGCGAAGCATTCCCGAGAGGAGCTCCGCCTAATCTTGTGTGTTCGCCGCGGCGAACTCTGCCCGAGAGATCACTGGTGAGATTTCCATTTTGGCCCTGCGGCGAAGAATTCTCTTCGCCGCGGCGAAGTGTGTTAGTGCTGATACTCTGATCTTGTGTTGTGTCATCCTTTGGTCTTTGATCTTAGCTCCAATTCTCAAGTGTCCTACAATAAAAAGCAACAATTTGAAGCATCAATTGTCCTAGAAATCAACTGAATACAATTAATAACCAATTATGACAATTTTACCCTCAAAAAGATACTAACTCAAAGTAAGGACTCTTAATCTAAATTAAGCACAATTAAATCAGAAGGATACAAGGAAGAGCCATTCTTTTTGGCTTCCCAGGCTACAAAGTGTTTTATGTCCCTGACCCGGCTACTAAAGGATGGTCTATTGTTTTGTTGACTAATAAAATGAATATTGAAGAGACAGGGTATGAAGACAATGCAGTTAAAGATGATCCATTTCAAGGGACATCACTTGAATCTCATTTAAATGAAGATCAATCCATATACATCAGGCACGATCACAATGACAGAATATGGATTTCAAAGAGGGGAAAAGTGTTTCGTAAGAAGATCAAAATAATTCAAACCAAGAAGAATATACAAAAACCTAAGAGTAGAAAAAGGAAAAGTCTACTTAAACATGCATGTAAATTCTCTTATTATTTTCTTTAATTCTTTTATTCATTTTAATTTTGTTTAAGTCAATTTCATTATTAATGACTTTATTTTCATCTAATGGGTTCTGATTCATTTTGTTTAATTGAATTTTATTGTAGATGGTAGAAGATAGCGGATCTAGCACTGATAATCCATCTCAGCCGAGAGATGCCTCTGACCAGGAGAGACAGTTGCAAGACGAGGCAGTACGCGTACAGAGGGGCCTTTGTGTCATGCAAGAGGTTGTGAAAGCTCAAATAGAAGGAAAGAGATTTGTCGTACAGTGGAATAAGAAAGGACAAGCTGTACGGTCAAATAAATTTATTAGCTATATTGGAGTAGTAGCACGAAGCACTGTACCCATTACAGTGCAGCACTGGAAGAGGGTTGATTGTTCAGTGCGAGACGCTATTTGGACAGATGTATCAGTAATATTATAACAGCTCAAATTTCATTTTCTTACAAGCTGCCTGACACTAATGTGTTATTTTATATGTTTTGCAATTTGCATTTGATATAGATGAGAGCAGGAAGAAGTTTGTAGAGGGGAAGGCTGGGAGGGCACTACGCTCTTTTTGATACTTTGTGACACACAAGTACTTGAAGGATCCTTCCATAGCTGACGAGTCTGAGGTTCCTAGCTTGATACAGGACTCGGTCAAACCAGAGGATTGGGCTGCTTTTGTGACGTCATGTCGTGATAGTCAATTTCAAGTAATAATCCTTACTCTTTTTGATATTAAATAGTCCATTTTGTTTAATCTATATACTATTTAATTGTGAATCTACTTTATTTTTGCAGGAATTAAGTACCCAAAATAAGAAAAGGGTAAAGAATGAATATCCCTACCAAAAGGGGCGCTTGGGTTATGCGGTCCTAGAGTAAGAGGTGACTCAAAAGGAGGGATCAGATGTCATTGTATCCCGTCAAATGCTGTGGGCATTGGCCAGGCAAAATAAAGATGGCCAAATTGATAATCCTCGCATTAAGGAGGTCGTGGACAGGATGGTGAGTATTATTCTAAATTAAATAATCCTCACGTTATTGTCAAATATCTTTAAGTAGGAATAACTATGTCAATGTTTGTTACACAGGAGAGTTTGTCCCAGGAAGTTTCACAGGGGGCATATTGATTGAACCTAATCGTTCTATGTTATTTCATATCATTTTAAGGGTTTTTATCATAGGTTTTGGCTCCTTTTAATGATAATTGTGCTTAATTTAGATTAAGAGTCCTTACTTTGAGTTAGTGTCTTTTTTAGGGTAAAATTATCATAATTAGTTATTAATTGTATTCAATTGATTTCTAGGACAATTGATGCTTCAAATTGTTGCTTTTCATATACTTGAGAATTAGAGCCAAGATTGAAGACCAAAGCATTACACAACATGAGAGTTTCCAAGAAAATGCTGTGTTGTGGCAAAAAGTCTAAAAATGTGCATCAGTGGCTATTTTGGAATAGTTCGCCGGGGCAAACTTTTGAGTTCACCACGGCAAACTCTCAAAATCTCACCAAAATTCTTCTCTGGAATAGTTCGCCACGGTAAACTTTTGAGTTCGCCGTGGCAAACTCTCTCGTATCAGTAACGTCAGATTCGGATCCAGAACGCAAAAATGGACACTTTACTCATATGATCCGATCCAGATGGACCCCTAAAACCCTTAGAAACCCTATTTTCGTGGAAGAACTCCATTCTATCATCTCCAACACCTCTATTCTCCCATCCTCTTGCCTCTCCATCTCCATCTTCTTTCCCTTCCATTTCCTGCACTCTTTCTTCATCCCACCTCATTTCCTTCATCTCCTTACTGCTATGGCTAAAGATTTAACTCTGGTTGGAGCTGATTCCAAGGCTATGGTGAGCCAGGGTTTATCAACTCTTGAAGATGGTGGAGTAGCATGAGTTTTCAAGCTTCAAAGGGGAGTTTCAGTTTCAATCTTTAGTTTCTACCTATGTATTTATGATTTCCTAGGTCTAGGATTTGTAAATTCTTAGTGAGACACTTTAGTTGATTTTGTAATCATTGGTTAATGATTTACATTTGTAGTTTGGATTGGTTGATGTTGAATTTTGTGCTTAAATATATTTGGTCACATATATGCTTCTTTGTAACTCTCATGATTCTCTCCTATCTTGCATTGTCATGTTTTGATATTGAGTTGATTGTGGGTTACATTGAGCCAATTGCATGATCATTCTCAAATTACACATTAGGGAAGCTTAACAATGTTTTCATTAATGAAGTTCATTGATTTAAACATTGGACTCAATGAGTTATTGAGGTTGTTATTAAGAAAACCTAATGGATTTGTGAAACTCCCAATATCTTAAGTGAACTATGATTGCCATCAAAACCATTTTCAAGAGATTTCCTATCATTCATTTCCATTCCATCATTATTATCTTAAAACACCAAAAATATAGTATCTTAGGTTTATTTTCATTGCATTTAGTTTAGACACCATTTATTTAAATCTTAAAAACCCAAAACCCCATTTCATTGCATTGCATGGCATTTAGTCTAACTTAGGTAATTAATAAGGCTTCCAAAAGTAAAACGACCTGAGTTTGCACTATACTACATAGCTTGGATTTATTTTTGATTGAGAACCCCAAGGCAAATGACAAAAAAGCTCTCGTCACATATTCTGCAGATGACCAGGATATATTGAGGAGGGCATTAGGGACTCCTGACCATCCTGGTCTTCTTAAAGGTGTCAGTTATGGAGTCACCAAGAGGGATTACTTCAGGTACCGACAAAAACCCTCTTTATCATGCACGCCTTCTTCTGCTAAGTTCATGGAGCTGAAGGAAGAAACATGCTGGTTAAAGGAGCAAGTTAAAGCACAAGCACTCCAAATCGAGCAGCTGATCAAGAATCAAGCACCATAGCCGGCTCTGAATCTCAGCCTAAGTGGCAAAGATAGCTGCACATTCCCCTTACTACCTGAGGTATAATACTTGTGTTTATACAATTACATTCAATTATTTATATATCCAGCTAACTTGTCTCCCATGTTAAATTAGGGTGAAGCGGACGTTTGGTATATGGCGGATAGCCCTAAACATCACACTGTTGCAACGGGCCGCATGTTCAATGAAACGTCCTGCCTTTAACCCCTCAGAGCATGCATTCGTAAGTATTATGGTTCAAGTAGATCATGACACAAGTCTGTGGATTTAAAAATTCCAATTAATTACTCGGGTTACTATTCACTGTTTAATTTCCAGATTACAGGCTCAACTTCAAAAATTCATAACTAATTCCATAAAAATTGTATTGGAGTGTTCTAAAATTCTACAGAAAGCTATTTCAATGCTCTTTAAGGGAAAAATATCCAATTAGACTTATCTTTGCCCAATTCGTACAGTTTAATCAATAAATATTATTGTTTGTTTCAAAAATCTGGAACTTCCAGATTCTGTGCCTCAATATTGGAAATTTGTATCTCCTTGTGTATACATCCAATTAAGGTGATCTATATCTCATTTTAAAGCTTGGGATGTGTACTATGATCCTGCCAAATCTCGTGACTTAACTCGTTCATTTGATAGGTCAAATTGGAGCTACAAACCCACTGCTTTAGGACCTACGTTTTATCCCTTAACATCTCTTTAATTATTTTTATTTCTCTGGCATACATAACATGGGCTTACTCTTTCTCATTCATGCTCATACACTTCTATACATGCCATAAGCATTATGATTAAATACATGGCATCATAGGCATCCACAACATAAATTACATAATAGGAGAATTACACATTGAATAATAATATCATTCATTAACATGAACAATTCTTCACTTTCTTCTCCTTGCTTCTCATGCCATTATTGCCCATTGATGATTGACCTAAATAGTTGGTTAGGGAGGGGGTGAGATTCGGGAGAATCTCAGTAGCAAACAATACCATATTAATCATGCTAGATGAATGCTAATGCACTACACGTACCTTGTTTATTCTCTTGTAAATTAGTGACATATTAGCATGCTCAAAGCTAACTTCTTGATGCATGTCCATGGAGATATAATCTACTCATCATGAATAGTAATTACAGTAGCTAAAATGTCACACCTTACTTATATAGTACCTTAGCAGTCATTTAGAACCATTTCAGACTACTTTGGATGGTCTCAAACTTAAAAATTTCACTTTGGACGTTAATTTTCGGAAAATTACTGTTCACTGTCCAATTTTCAGATTACAGGTCCAACTTTGAAAAATCATAACTAATTCTAAAAAAATTGTATGGAGGTGCTCCAAAATTCTACAGAAAGCTCTTTCAATTCTCTTTAAGGAAAAAATATTCAGCTGAACTCACCCTCACTGAAAACGTACAGTTTATTGGATTAAGATTACTATTCATTTGGTAAAATCTGGACTTTTCAGATTCTCTGCCTTAACTTTGAAAATTCATATCTCTTCATATACACATCCAAATGAGGTGATTTACCACTCATTTTAAAGCTTGGGATGTGCACTATAAGTATACCGAATTTTGTAGCTTAAATCATTCATATGATAGGTCAAACTGAAGCTCGAAACTAACTGCTCCATGACCTACGTTTTATCCCTTAACATCTCTTTACTTTAATCCTTTTTATTTCTTTGGCATACCTAACATGGGCTTACTTTTTCCCATTCATGCTCATACATTCCTATACATGCCATAGGCTTTATAATTAAATACATGGCATTCACAACATAATTATAACATAGGAGAATTATACATTGAATATTAGTATCAATCATTAGCATCAATAATTCTCCACTTCTTCTCCTTGCTTCTCATGCCATTAGTGCCCATCATTGATTGACCTAAATGGTTGGTTACGAAGGGGTGAGATTCAGGAGAATCTCAGTGGCAAACATTACCACATACATGCACAAGATGGATGCTAGTGTATGGTATGTAGTTTTTCATAAACTTAAGTTAACTAGTGACATGCCATCATGCTTTATGCTTGGTATAAAAATGCATGGCCATAAGAACATATTAAAAATAGCATTTTCAGCAACAATCATCATGTCACAACATCATTCAAACAACAAATACAAACCAACACATGAGCATACCATATCAAGCACATAAAGGGTAAGTTCACTACCTTGCACCTCAAGCTTTCCTCTTACTTTTCCTTTGACTCCCTTGACTTTCCAACCATGTTAGCTTTCGGTCAACATCATCAAACATCCTCTTGGATGTTCCAAAGGTCCTAAACATAGTCATAATGATCATACAATCTATTAGGACCACTAGATTACATAAAGTTCAAAGCTAGCTTTCTTGAACCTCAACCCTTTCTCTTAGTCTTAGGGCTTTCTTTCTAGCTTTTCTAACATAAATCTCATCATTTCCCATCCTTATAATCCATTTCTTGTCAATTAGGATCACTTTAGATGGCCTTAGATTCAAAAAGATCAAATCTGGAAGTTTTGGTTCACGGGTACTGTTCATGCAGAATCTCCAGAATTTTTGCTCAACTTTGAAAATTCATAATTAAATCTATAAAAATCCAAATTGAGTGCTTCCAAGTCTCACTGAAAGGTCCTTAAGTTAAATTTAAAGTAAAAATAGTTTCAGAAACCAATTCTATGCCAAAAAGTACCGGAATTGTATGGAAATTGAAACTCTTCCAAAAGTTCAACACTGTTTCCAGATTTCAAACCCTAATTTTGAAAAATCACCATAAATCGTACACATATCCAAATGGAGTTTTCTACCCATGGATTTAAAGCTCATAGAGTGTACTTTAAGCATACAAAATTTGAGAATCAGATACACACAGTAACTAATTTGAAATAGGCATCAAATCAGCACGTAATTCTTCCAATTTCCACATAGATCCACTTGATATAACCTTTAATCCATGTGTTTTAGCTAGATCTAACATCAAAGTCATCCTCCCCTAAGCTTATGTCAATTCGGCCAGCACCTCCTCTTAGGGGATCTCACATTTTTCAACCATAAAACCAAAGATTCAAAGCAATAAACAAGAGGAAACAACTTACTAACCTTAGATCTAAACTCGGTTGATCAAAGTAGGTGTCTTCCTCTTGATTTAAGCTTCAAGAATCAAAATTGCAAGAGTTTTCCCTTATGTTCATCAGCTTGGCTGAAATGGGGGGGAGGGAGAGTGCCTATTTATAGCCAAAAAGGTGACTTGAATGGACCAAAATGCCCTTGGTAGCTAGAAGAAGGAGTAAGGGCAATTTTGAAAGTTCAAGTGGACTTTTGCATCATCATTGCATCACCTTATTACATCATGCTTACCTAATTCTTCTAGAAGGTGCCAAGTGTCATAAAAGTGGTGGAGGAAAAGGGAGATCAAATCCTAGCCATTGGATCAAACTTGTTTCATAAGCTTCCTCCGAATTTACTTGGCCCGCGTTTCTCCGACTTTTTTATGGCCTTCCAGAGTTCAGAAAATTCTTTTGTCTACTCCATAAATTCCCCTTCATTCTAGAAAATATCTATGAATTTTCTCAGGCCACAACACTTCCTCTAAGCCTTGTATAAAAATCATTTACTAAAATACTCTTTTATCGGTATAATCTGCTCTTTAATTTATTAAAGCCATTCCACTAGCCTTTTGGTTGCGGGACTAATTTTATAAATTAGTATAACCTTTCAACCAATTAACCTCATTTTTACATACATTTTTGAGGTCTCTTGCTATTTTAAATAATTACCTCAAACAGTATACTTTTTACTTGTCATAACCTCATAAATTCCATTTAAGCTACCTCAGGGGTATTTTTCTCACTTCTCTTCATAGAAGAGTTTTTTGGGATTTTTCTTAGAATTTTCTGTATACTCTTCCATTTTTACCTCTGCTGGTCATAACTTTTTGAATTTACAGTTTAGTCCTTGCTTGGACTTAACTTCATATAATCCTCTCTTTGAGGCTTCTAACTCAACCTTTGGCTTATATCTAGTCTCTTTTCTCTCTCTAGGCCTTCGAGACTTTACTAGAGTCTCTGACTTTGATTATACTGAAACCCCTAAAAAACTTTTACTTTGCAGTTTAGTCCCTGAAACTGCTTTGATCTCCTTTCTCATCTTTGGGACTTCTGCTCAAAAAGGGTCTAGTAACCTATCCAGTTTAGGCTACTTTTGATGCTTCTAGGTCCAAAAGTTTGGATGTTACATAAAACATGTCACAATAACATTCAAATAACATGTACACAGCAACACATAAGCATACAACATCAAGCAATGACAATAGGTAAGTTCACTACCTTACACCTCAAGCTTTCCTCTTACTTTTCCTTTAACTCCCTTGACTTTCCAACCATGTGGGAATTCGTTTAACATCACACAGTCTATCAGGACCACTAGATTACATAATATTCAAGACTAGCTCTCTTGAACCTCAACCCTTTCTCTTGGTTTTAGGATTTTGTTTCTAGCTTTTTTAACACAAACCTCATCATTTCCGATCCTTAAGATTGATTTCTTGTCAATTAGGACCACTTTATATGGCCTTAGATTTAAGAAGATAAAATATGAAAACTTTGCTTCGCGGGTACTGTTCACGCAGAAATTCCAGAATTTTTACTCAACTTTGAAAATTCATAATTAATTCTAGAAAAATAAAAACTGAGTGGTTCCAAGCCTCACTGAAAGCTCATTAAGTTCTCTTTAAATGAAAAATAGTTTCAGAAACCAATTCTATACTGAACAGTATCATAATTGTATGGAATTCGACACTCTTCCAAAGGTTAAACACTGTTTCCAGATATCAAACCCTAACTTTGAAAAATCACCATAAACCGAACACATATCCAAATGAAGTGTTCTACCTATGGATTTGAAGCTTACAGAGTATACTTTAATCATGCCAAATTTTAGAATCCGATACAAAGAGTAACTTATAGTACAATCT